TCGTGGTTCATTCGCCTCCTCCACGTTCCGTCATCCATCTGCACTCCACCGTAGATGGTACGCAACACCTTCCGTTCGAAAACACCAAGGGCGCGTTGGTCCTCCACGAGCATAGTCCAGGTCTCGTGGCCGTAAAGGACCACCGGTCTAATCAGCGTCTTGTAGACAGTCAACTTCGTGCGGCGGCGAATTTTATTCGACCGGAGCGTCCTCCGGAGTCCAAAGTAGGCACGATTCCCTGCCATAATGCGTCTTTGAATTTCTCTGCTGGTATCATTTTCGGCGGTCACCAGTGAGCCCAAATACACGAACTCATCGACCACCTCGATTTCGTCACCGTCAATCTGAACTCGGGGTGGGAGGCTAACATTGTCTTCCCTAGAACCTCTTGCTTTCATATATTTTGTCTTTGATGCGTTGATGGCAAGTCCAATCCGTCTAGCTTCAGCCTTCAGTCTGATGTACGTTTCCGCCATCATCTCAAAGTTCCGTGCCATAATGTCAATGTCATCGGCGAAACCAAGGAGCTGGATGGACTTCCTGAATATCGTGCCACTCGTGTCTATCCCAGCTCTTCTGATCACACCTTCTAACGCGATGTTGAACAGCAGACACGAAAGTCCATCACCCTGCCGTAACCCCCTTCGAGATTCAAAGGGACTCGAGAGTGTCCCCGATACTCGAACAACGCACGTCACTCGATCCATCGTCGCCTTGACCAATCGCGTCAGTTTATCCGGAAATCCGTACTCGTGCATAATCTGCCATAGCTGATCTCGATCGATTGTGTCGTATGCGGATTTGAAATCGATGAACAAATGATGTGTGGGCACGTTGTATTCGCGGCATTTCTGCAGAACCTGCCGAATCGCGAAAATTTGGTCCGTGGTAGCGCGGGCACCCATGAATCCCGCCTGGTATTGCCCCACGAACTCTCTTGCATATGGTGACAGACGGCGGCATAGAATTTGGGAGAGTACCTTGTAGGCGGCGCTCAGCAGTGTGATCGCGCGGTAGTTGCAGCAATCCAACTTGTCGCCCTTTTTGTAGATTGGGCATACGACACCTTCCATCCACTCCTCCGGTAATATCTCCTCCTCCCAAATCTTGGCAATTACCCAGTGCAGCGCTCTAGCCAGTGCTTCACCACCGTATTTCAATAGCTCACTTGGTAGTTGATCTACACCAGTTGCTTTGTTGTTCTTCAGCCGACCGATCTCCTCCTCAACTTCTTGAAGATCAGGGGCCGGTAGCCTGTCGTCTTCTGCGCGTGCTCCAAGGTCTGTTGCCGTGCCACCTTCGTTTTCTGCTGCTTCACCGTTGAGGTGCTCGTCATAGTACTGCTTCCACCTCTCAATCACCTCACACTCGTTCGTGAGAAGGTTACCGTCCAAGTCCTTGCACATATCGGCTTGCGGCACGTAGCCTTTGCGCGAACTATTTAGCTTCTCGTAGAACTTCCGTGTGTCGTTTACGCGGTACAGATTTTCCATCGCCTCGCGATCTCGATCTTCCTGCTGACGCTTCTTCCTTCGGAAAACCGAGTTTTGTCTGTTCCGCGCTTGTCTGTATCGCTCCACATTCAATCTCGTGCGGTGTTGCAGCATTCTCGCCCGTGCTGCATTCTTCTCCTCTACTAACAGTTTGCATTCGCCGTCAAACCAGTCATTTCTTCGGTCCGGGATTGCAGTACCTAGTGCCGCTACAGCAGTACTACCTATGGCTGAACGGATGTCCCTCCAGCCATCTTCAAGAGAAGCTGCGCCAAGCTGCTCTTCCGTGGGTAGTGCAACTTCCAGCTGCTGCGCGTAGTCCTGGGCAACTCCGGTGTCCCGTAGTTGCTCAATGTTGGGTCGTGGCGTTCGACTTCGACGTGTGTTATGCACCGTCGAGAGTTTTGAGCGCATGCATACTGCAACTAGGTAGTGGTCCGAATCTATGTTCGCACTGCGGTACGTGCGGACGTTGATAATGTCGGAGAAGAATTTCCCGTCGATTAGAACGTGATCGATTTGGTTTTCTGTGTGTTGGTCAGGTGATCTCCAGGTGGCTTTGTGGATATCCTTGCGGGGGAAAAAGGTACTTCGAACTACCATACCCCGGGAGGCTGCAAAGTTCACGCATCGTTGGCCGTTGTCGTTCGATACGGCATGCAGGCTGTTTGGCCCGATTGCCGGTCTATACATTGCCTCCCGTCCTACCTGAGCGTTCATGTCGCCGATGACGATTTTGACGTCCCGTTGCGAACAGCCGTCGTACACCTGCTCCAGCTGCGCATAGAACGCTTCTTTCTCGTCGTCGGGTCTCCCTTCGTGTGGGCAGTGCACGTTGATGATGCTGTAGTTGAAGAAACGGCCCTTAATCCTCAACTTGCACATCCTCGCGTTGATCGGCTGCCAACCAATCACGCGTTGGCGCATCTTACCCAGCACTACAAAGCCGGTTCCCAGCTCGTTGGTGGTGCCACAGCTCTGGTAGAAAGTAGCCGCTCGATGCCCGCTTTTCCATACCTTTTGTCCCGTCCAGCAAAGTTCCTGCAGTGCTACGACTTCGAAGTTGCGTGGTTGAAGTTCGTCATAGATTAACCTATCGCAACCCGGGAAGCCGAGCGATTTGCAGTTCCATGTTCCGAGTTTCCAATCGTAGTCCTTATTTCGTCGCGTAGGTCTGTGCCGATTGTTCCGATCCGTATTTCTTTCTTCGGTATTTGCAACTTTGTTTTTTTTCCAGGGCGGCTTGTTGGGCCTGCCCCAACCCCCTGTCTCGCCGGGGGACCATCGTGCACAGCTCTGTTTAGAGTCCCACGCTGGCACTAGGACGGTGATCAGCCGCTCCTAACATGGAGAACAGACGCCGTTTTGAGCCGCACCTCCATGGTGAGCAGACGCTCAGGTTTGGTGAAGCATTTCCTCTATCACCGTACTATGGTTACCGCGCCAGTGTTCGCGTCGCACCTCTTCACTTTGCTATTGCCGGACTGGCAACATTGCCCAGGCTACGCCAACCAGCTGTGTCCATGTTTCAGCTGGTAGTCTTTTGTTATCATATGACTCGAGGAGGCGTGAAGTAGGAACTTGTGAGGACCAGGGCTAGGTATTCCGCTCCTTCCAGGTTGTCAACTCACCATTTTGTAACCCTTGATAGCATGCGTGGTGGGATTCTCGGCATTTGGAGCCAAATGAGGAAAATTGATACCTTTTTGACCTGTATTACACCTACATGGCTGACTGGTTGATGGTTATGACAAATAAATACTGAATTCATGTATGAAAAGATTTACAGAAATTTCAATACACCCAAGAATACACCACATACTAGAGTGTGTTTGCCTGTCGTTGATAAGCTCACCAAAAGCAGCCGTGGACGCGAGGATTAGCAACCAACAACGAAATCAGTACACCCCAGATGGCATGGGATCAAAACTATAAATTATGCAGATAAAAAATCACAAATAAAATCAACAGTGGTGTATCGATATTTTGATTTTACAACTGAAATCGATATTTTGATCTGGCAACACAATCGATATTTTAACATTGGTAACGATTTTTAGCAATATTTTGAGAAAGATCTTTATAAACGATTAACGATTAAACTTTAAGCATCTTTACAATTATTCATGAAATGGTGACGATCGCTATCGATTTTTCTTATGAATGGCTTTGAAGATCGATGCATACACTCAAAAAAAAAATCAAATCTAAATAGTATAAAAGCTACACTAAATCGCAACTCTCCCGATTCTCCCATTGGCGTTGACGCGTTGATCCATAAGCAAACGTCAGACTGTGCGTGAAACATGGTGGACTTTGTACTATCCTTTCACTCCACCGAAAATTCCCATAAGAAACTATCTAAATTTGCTGGAAGAGCAAATTTTTCGACGGCGCCAATAGCGTGGACTAAAAGGATAGAGTACATGCTTAGTATAAAAATGCTTTATGCAATCAAATGTATAAAGTGGGAATATTAGAATGATGTATAAAGTCTGTTTATTGGTCAGGGTGCGTTTTTTGATTGCTGAAGTTACTGATGTTGAAAAAAGGTAAACAAACGTTTTCTTTTTCTTTTTTTAATCTCTATTAGAGATGTAAAAAAACTTTTTTTTTTTTTTTTTTTTTATCATAGTCACTTTAACGCTCTTGGGTCATTCGCGACTTGTCCGGGGGTGAGATTTGAACTCGTGACTTTGGCGTGAGTGGTATGGATGCTAACCACTACGCCGGGGTCGCCCCCTGTAAAAAAACGATTCGGAAATGATAGTTACTATAATTATATTTTTTACTTTATTGATTTGTGATCTGCTGCTGTGCTTGGGGTGGTGATGGACTATGGCTGCTGGGTAACGATCTGAATACAACAAATAACAAATCAATCTGACTGCACAAAACTCAACGATGTTCATCCTGAAAATAGATGCATTACAAATTACATCATATTAATGATGTTATTTTACCGAATACATACCTGTAGCCTATTTATTTTTCTTTGACATTCACAAATACAATATTTTAACAAAACGACCGCGAGAAACAACCCGACAAAACGACGCGAGACGCGAAAAAACGGGCTACGATGCGAGCCGGGTGCCTTTGGAATTTGTTTTGACGTTTTAATTTGCCGTGAAAACTGCACAATTTCTATATGAACCTTGGTATACACTGGACGAATTTTTCATCTTTATTCAAACTTAGTATAATTTTGAAAGTGAAAAGTAATCAGACCAATTGCTTAACCATAAAATGATTAAATTTTAATCTTTCTAAGTTTAGTAATATTTTTGAGTGTAGAAAATTAACGAAATGGTTGGTCGGGGTTCCAGTTCGACTCTGTTCAACTGCGTTAAGTATGCATTTTATTCGCACTGGGTTTCGTCGAAGATCGACTCCAATGACAGCTGTTGAGCTGAAGCGAGATGCAACATCAATGCATTCTCACAAGAGTAAACGAGAGCGTGGCACAAGAACAGCCGCGACGTCGGGGCATGTCGGTCGAAGTTTGAACTCAAAACTCAAAGTTTTTCGCTGCAACCGCGCGAGTCATCATTGTCGTCGGTCGCTAGAAGTGTTATTTTTCTATTTGTGGAAAACCTTCAGCTTTTCAGCTGCTGTGTAGAAATTTTATCGGTGCTGGAGTGATTCGGACAGAATATCGCGTAAATTCCGTATGGAATCGGTGTTGCGCATTGTGAGCCGTAAGCTACCGTCGCCATTTGGCGGCGAGTGAAAAAAAAAAAAATCTGGTGGGTTCCGGATTTGCCAGCAGTGTGATGAAAATCCACAGCAACAGCAGCAGTAGCAAAAGAAAGATGGTCGACGAAAATTAAAACGCATATTTTGCTTGTGGCCCCCGTTCGGTCGCTCGTGCCGTCGTCGCGCACCGTCTTCTTTTTTCAGTCGCCGTGGAACCGTCTGGCGTTTTTTCGAGAACCTAATATTATTTTCCCTGGATTGTGGTGACTTTGAGCAAAAAATAGGCATGACTCATTGGGGAGGAGTTGCTAGGGTTGAAGCGCAGCAATAAGATACCTGGAAAGGGAATGAACAATAATGCATATGAAGCTGTTATTTGTTGCTTCGGTTTCCTCCGGATTATGATTTGAAGAAGAAACTAATTTTTAAACCAATTTCATCAGTGATTAATTTGTTACTTTTGGTTGAAGGAGGTTCAAACGAGCGATAATAAGTGAATCCCGGTTGTCCTTCAAAATCATCAGACGGCAGCTGCTGAACCCGTGGTCATAAGGAAGAAAAAAATTTCACTCGTGTCACTTTTCTTTTTTTTTCTCGGCCGAAAAAAAAATCGTATTGTGCTTCCTTCACTACCTATCGTATTGCGACTGCTGGTGAAGAGAGTGTGCTTGTTGAACGGAAAGTGTGTGTGTGCATCTGCGGCCAAAGCGGCGGGATAAGAAGAGAAGAAAATTCAAAATAAAGCGAAATCAAAACACCTCCCCACTTGCTTAGCAATCATTTTTGTTGGCCATCAATTTCGTTCGAACGGAGGAGTCGTTCCGTCAGAAGAAGGCGCTATTTCATCATCCTGTTTCTACGCGCGCGGATAGAATCCATCTCACTCACATCACGCCCGTGTGGTGATTGTGTGAAATAATAGCTTTTTTTTCGAGCTGGGCGTGATCAGCTGGTGAGATTTTGACGAAGTGAACGAGGCAACGGTAGATGTGGAAAATGTGGAGTGCGTCGTATGAAATTATCGTGGAAACCCTGACCGGGTCCGAGTTCGAGGTCACCGTTAGCGATCGGGACACCGTGGGATACATCAAGTCCAAGATCCAGAAGTATGAAGGTATGCACTTGTTGGAGTTGGGTAAAAACTTGAATAAATGATTATAGTGGAATAGCTCGAGGCGTAGCTCTGATAATGATATCTCATGCTAGAGAACTTTTGATTACCATCTCTGCGAACGTTGGCCGGAACAACTTCGTCGAAATTCCATAGAACCACTGTTGGTCCGCTGACAGAATCGAAAACCTCCATCAAAACCGTGCGGAACCTCTTCCGCTGAGAACGCGAGAAAACTCCATCAAAATTCCGTGAAACCTCCACTGGCAGCATCAGAAATCGTCATCGAACTCGTCCGCCAAGAACGCGAAAAAAACGCCTTCGAAATTTTGCATTTTTTATGGGTCATACTTTATGTAATTGTAATTTATTTGGACAAGACAAATTTCGTAGAACCTTCGTTGGCAGCATCTAGAATCCTCTTCGAAATCATGCCGAACCTCCTCCGCCGAGAAGGCAAGAAAAATCCGTTGAGACTTCCAGGAACTCCCGCTGGCAGCATCCAAAATTGTAATTGTAATTTATTATCGTAACGTTAGCCTGTCGGTTACAGCATTGCTCAGGTCAAGGAAAACACAACATTTGATTTTTAACTAAAGGAGAACAATAAGTCATTAGTGGAAGTAGCTTTCTTAGTAGGTATGTAATTCTTAAACTAGGTTTGAGATCCTGTTGAGAGCGCTGTCTTGAATGCGCTGATCGTTGTATGTCGTCGTGTTGCTAGAGGGAGCTGGTTCCAGATGATTGCACCTGCGATCATCACACTCTTCTTCTTCGATGTGGTGTGATGGGGAATCGCAAAGCAGCGGGCCCGCTCAAGCTGTCCTCTTCTCAGGTGTTGCTGCAGATAAGGTGGGAAAGTTCCTGCGTACCCTTCCCGCGAATAAAACAGCTGATTCTATTCCGGTAATTTGTGTCCAGGTCGTGTCCCAAAATAGAGTTCCTTACAGCAGCAGTGGATTCTCTGCGTCTGAGGCCATAGACAAAGCGAACTGCTGCCTTGAAACAACGGTTTAGTTGATCACGGAGCGCTGATGACAGTCCAGGATAGTAAGTGACGTCACAGTAGGTGAAAAACGGCACGACCACTGCTTGCACCAGCTTTATTCGGGTTTGAACTGACAAAACTGGAGCGAATCTTCGGAGTGTCCGCAACGTTCCAAAAACTTTGGCCGTTATGTCGTTCACATGTCCATTCCACTTCAGGTTGCGATCCATCCTTAGACCAACATTCCTCGCCGATAGCTTGAAGTAGCCGGACGTAGTTTGTTCGTGTCTCCGTTGCGGGTATTGGTTTCGTAGCCGGTGGAGTTTTTTTTCCCACCACAGTGGTTTTTTATATCGCGCGTTATTCCTACCGTGGACGAAGTTCAGTGCCCAAGGCAACCGCAGTCAGCAGAGGAAGTAGCCACCTTTAGCGACGCTATAGGTGGACTATCATCTCACCGTCATCATCTCATCACCACTCCAAAGCAGCAAGCAACAACAACAAAGCAGCAAACGGAGTGGCTGCACCAGCTCACACAGCCGGCACCGGCCGGTGTTAAGTATACCTACTATACAATAGTCTTCTCTAGCCCATTGCCGCGCTTTTGTTATTCAATTTTGCGCGTGGCTTTGCCCTCTCCCCTGATAGGGTTGTGAGGGCTATAGTGGTCAACTTCTTGCAACTAATAAAATTTTTTTTTTTTTTTTTGTTTTTTTTTTTTTGATAATTTTTTTATTGTTTTTTTTTTGCTTGTTCATACACTGGGCAACAAAATATTAACAACTAGTAGTGAAGTAGATTAATTGGTGAAGGTTTTTTATATATATATTTTTTTTTCCTTTTTAAGCGGTTGTGCACCGCTTTTGCGCAACACTTATGGCGTCTTCGGATGCCTACGTTGCGCGAACCAGGTACTACCAACCGTCTTCGAAAGGACCATGGGTTGTCTTTTTTCGGCCCAAAAATAAACCTTTGAAAACTCTCGACATTTCGAGAGATTTGCTGCGTAAGTATCCGGGAATCTTGGTACATAAAGAGAGATTCAATAAACTGCGTGTAGAAGCACCGACTTATGATGTGGCAAATAAAATTGCTGAACACGAGCTGTTTAGTGTCGAGTACAACATCTACATCCCTTCTCGAGATGTGGAGATAGAAGGTGTGGTCTCCGACGCGAGTCTGAGTGTCGAGGACTTAAAACGAGCATCGGGTTGCTTCAAAAACTCGAAAATCGGAGAGCAGGTACAGATACTGGATGTCAGGCAACTGCATTCAGTATCTTTGCAAGATGGCAAGAAAGTTTATCAGCATTCAGACTCGTTTCGGGTGACTTTCGCTGGTTCAGTTCTCCCAAACTTTGTTAAAGTTGATGGTGCTTTTTTCCCGGTGCGGTTGTTTGTACAGAGGGTATATAATTGTACCAACTGCAAAAGGCTAGGACACTCGGCCAGCCATTGCGGCAACAAAACTCGTTGTGGCAAATGTGGTGAAAACCACAAAGAGGATTCTTGCCACAAAGAAACAGTAAAATGCGCATATTGTGGCGAGAATCCTCACCCCTTGCAGGAGTGCCCGATGTACAAACAGCACTCCGATAAAGTGCAGCGTTCAATCTCTGGACGCTCCAAGCAGTCATATGCACAAATGGTGAAGGCTGCATCAGCCGTCCAAGATGAAAACCAATTTTCGATTTTGTCAGCTGAAGAATCGGACTCTGACTCATCCGATGAGGGTGACTCTACGGTGGTACACGCACCTTTGAAAACAAATGGATCCTCAAAACGAAAATGCTCCTCCCCGAAAGTGCGCCGTAAAAAAACTAAAGTCACTCCCAGAGGATTGCAAAATTCCCAGGGTAATGGGGATGAAAAAATTAAATCGAAGGCTCCCACTGCTCCACTTCCTGGCTGCAGTAAGGATTTTCCGCCATTACCCAACAAAGATAAGAAAAACAAAAAAGCTGCTCCTCAAACTTCTCAAAAGAAATCCAAGTCCGAACGAGGTTTGCTAGCTTTTTCGGACATTGTGGAATTCATATTAAATATGTTCAACATACAAGACCCTCTTAGAAGCTTAGTTTCTGCCTTGCTTCCAACATTAGAATCATATCTTAAGCAATTGACTGTTTCATGGCCCCTCCTTGCATCAATCATATCTTTCGATGGATAATTCGTCGAACGAGGTTGAAGATATGATCACTGTGCTACAGTGGAACTGCCGTAGTCTAGTGCCTAAACTAGACTCGTTCAAATTTTTACTTCACAATTCTGATTGTGATATATTTGCTCTCTGTGAAACATGGCTTTCTACCGATAAAGAACTCAACTTCCACGATTTTAACATTATTCGCCTGGATAGAGACGATTCTTATGGAGGAGTACTTTTAGGGATCAAAAAGTGCTACCCTTTCTACAAAATGTCCCTTCCTGCTCTATCAGGCGTCGAAATCGTCGCTTGCCAAATAAATGTGAAGAACAAAAATCTTTGCATAGCTTCAGTTTATGTTCCACCAAGAACCTCCATTAGCCGTAGTCAACTCTGGAATCTTGTCTCGATTCTTCCATCTCCAGTATTAATTCTGGGTGATATGAACTCCCATGGTACTGGGTGGGGCGATCTATATGACGACAATAGAGCGGCTATTTTTTACGATTTATGCGACGATTTCAACTTGACTATTTTAAACACTGGTGAAGCGACACGTATAGCAAAACCTCCGGCTCGAGAAAGCCGACTCGACCTATCTTTGTGTTCTAGATCGCTATCATTGGATTGTCTGTGGAAGGTTATCAATGATCCCCATAGTAGCGATCATTTGCCAATCATCATTTCAATTAAGTGTGCCCCTCACTCTGTAGAACCATCTCGAGTTCCATTTGATCTTACAAGGAACATAGATTGGCATAAATATGCAACGGCGGTGACAATCGGTGCCGAATCAATAGATACGCTTCCACCATTGGAAGAATATCGATTCCTCGCCGATTTGATATACAAAAGCTCACTGGAAGCACAAAAAAGAAAAGTTCCAAGTGCGCCCTTCAAAAGGAGACCAGCCACACCTGGATGGGACGAAGAATGCACAAAATTGTATGTAGAAAAATCTGATGCTTTCAAAGCTTTTCGTAGACACAAAACCTCCACATACTTCGAGGAATATTCAAAGCTTGAGACAAAGCTGAAACAATTAGTCAAAGAAAAGAAACGCGGTTATTGGCGCAATTTCGTCGAGGGACTCTCACGAGAAACCTCAATGAACACCTTGTGGAGGGTGGCTCGCAACATGCGTAACCGCTCATCTTTCAATGAGAGTGAAGAATACTCCAACCGATGGATATTCGATTTCGCTAAAAAGGTCTGTCCGGACTCAGTTCCAGCACAAAATATTCTTCGAGAAGCGTCTCCTAGCGGCGGCTCTCTGGATAGACCATTCTCAATGCTGGATTTCTCTATGGCTCTTCTTTCATCGAACAACTCCTCACCGGGAAGCGATATGATTAAATTCAATCTTCTGAAAAATCTCCCAGATATCGCTAAAAGACGCTTGCTAGATTTATTCAATTCCTTGCTAGAAAACAACATTATACCGCCTGAATGGAGACAGGTCAAAGTAATAGCCATTCGAAAACCTGGCAAACCAGCGTCTGACCATAACTCATACCGTCCGATTGCGATGCTTTCGTGCATTAGGAAATTGTTGGAGAAAATGATCCTTCGGAGACTCGATCACTGGGTCGAAACAAATAACTTGCTATCAAATACACAGTTTGGGTTCCGCAAGAGCAAAGGAACAAACGATTGTCTAGCGCTGCTTTCCACAGATATTCAACTGGCCTTTGCGCACAAGGAGCAATTGGCTTCAGTATTCTTGGACATTAAGGGGGCTTTTCAGTTTCCGTTTCAGTTTCCATTGAAATTCTGTCAGACAATCTGCACAGATGTGGACTTTCCGGAATTTTAAATAATTTCTTGTACAATTTGTTGTCAGAAAAGCAAATGAACTTTTCCCTTGGAC